TTTTTTTTATCTTTCTCTCCATTCTATCTATCTCGTTAAGCCCAGCGGCGATGTGCTGCTCCACTTGCAATGTTCGCTTATTCCGGATTGAAAAAGACTGTAGCAGACTTTCAATATTTCTGAATATCTCAAAGCAAACGAGCATTTTTTATGAGACAAGAATTTTAGGAGGTTGATTTTTTTAATCGCCATTGTGATTGCCTCTCCCTTCCTAGTCCTCCAAACACCGTAAAATCATGTGTAATCTGAAAGCCACCATCGTGTAACAGTCTTGTCTCATGTAAAGCTCAAAATCTTTTTTCCGTTCAAGAAAGCGCGTATGCATAGTTCGTTCACTCCGGAGCGCCTGCGTCTTCAACGACAGCCTAGTTCTCTCTCTTATCCATGATTGCGGCAGCGCCGACCAATCAGAGCCGCGCAGTAACTAGGCCGCTAAGGATGGTGCAGAAGGGCCGTCTTCTCATTGTCAGTTATGAGATTAGCGTTCTTCCGAGATCGTTTCGTAGATGAGACATCCCTACCAGCTGCACTAAGCGCTCTTGCATTATGAGTATCCTTCCGTCATAATCGGTATGTTTGAAATAAATCGTAAACACATAGAATTCATTGAAATAGGAACGCTCATTTGGTAGAGCAGTTCTTCACGCAAAGTCAGAATGGTTGTTCCTTCTGTGGATAGCAGACAGTCGGAGGCAGAGCCCTCACTTGTAAGTCACCAGCCTCTGAAACTGTAGTACTCGAAACGTACTTCTTCAGCCGGTGGTGGAAACAATCAATAACGAAGTCTCTGTGAATCAAGCACATGATCTTGCGAGAAAACGTCTCAATCGCTATCATTCTGTGATTGAAGCAAATGTGAGCTTTTCACTATCTGTGTTAATAATCATAAACGCAGAAATGCTTTAGAGAAACTTGCCAATAGATCAGAGATTTTATACGGAAGAGCGCATTTCGTTGAAAGTTCGGTGATTTTTAATAATAGGAGTAATATTTTGATTGAAATGATTCAGGATGGTGGGCAAGTCGTTTCAGCTGGTACACCAGAAGGTCGTGTCTACTATCTCTCCAACAATGAACAATGGATGTTTCTTGAACGTAGCACGGACGAGAGAATTCAAACACTTTTGATTTCTGAAAATACCAGCAACGGTCCAAAGTTCACGCAAAAGTTCACTTCACGATGAAACACCTTGACGGAACGATTTCAAGCAGAATAAAGTTATGACAACTGTTTTTGTTCAAATACATAATGTACAAAAAGTTGCACACAAGCCCCTCTCCTTTTTCTATGCCCCTTTTCAGATGGAAAACAAGAATGAAAAAGTGTTGTGATTACATGAAGTGATAGAGCTCTTTAAGAGCTTTAGGCCGTCCGCGCTGTTCTCGAAGAGCAATGCGGTTCATACAATGAAAACAGTACATGCGCAGAGAAAACAGATGGCGAGAGTGCATGAAGAAGGAGGAATGACGCGCACTGCACACCTTGCGCACTCTCCGCGGCCAGC